GACGCTCCAGAAGCGTAATCGACGCAGTCTATAATAAAGCATGAAAGGAGCTCCAAATAAGACTAGATTATCTTGAGTAGTTGAGGCAAAGATTATGACTCTCCACTCTTTCTCCTCCCATAATTTTAGCTTAGATCTTTTTTATGCTAGAAGTTGCTTACTTTCAACGTTCTTTGTTCTAAATTTGCAAATGATACTCATTCTTGTATGACACGGATAAGATGCCCATTTCCCATTTGTTTTCATAGCAACGCAGTATGCTGCAAGGTTATGCTTGGAGCTAGGCTCTCCACGATCCCAGTTGAAATAAGATGTGAGGGTGATGTCATCGATACCAAATGTTAATCTTATGGCACCGATCCACGAGTCCACTCCCGACCGGCGCACCAAATCTTAAAGATAAATTGCATGAAATTTGACTTTAATTTATTGCATGGTTCCTATAAAAAAAAAAACTTATGATTCAGACCGCGTAGAATCTGTTATACCTGTGACAAACATGTTTTCTTTATCTGAATGAATAGACGCTAGAGGACACTCGTTAGTTTCTGTCCAGGTACATCCTCCACAAAGGTGTACCTAATGAGGATGTATAACCGAGGTAAATAAATGAAAGAAGATTTACTGTACACAAAGAAACAAAGACCAGTTAGATTTGTAAATTATTTGAGTAAGAGCTGTTTGAAGACGTTGCTGTATTAACCTTGTAACATTTATTCTCGAGTCTAGACCAACCGGGATCGCATAAATCCACTTGCGGTGGCTCCAACTCTTCGTTTTCATGTTGTGCGCGAAGCTAAAGAGAAAAACATACAGCTTTTTTTCTATGATCTTAACATAACTTGTTTGTAAGTAGGATCTTGTAGAGGATGAGGATGAAAAAGTACAGGAGTTACTGTACCACCCAGAGTTTAACTTTTACATTCAATAAGTTTTATTTACTGCTAACAGAGAACTGTCATATTCAGTAAGCGGCTACAACAGCAGTATAGGTATGATCGGTACTTACTGTGTTTCTGCATGTTTTGGTGAGTGGTGAGAAGTACATCCCTGGAGGACATTCCGTGTAATGCTCTAAATACAAATTGCTGACACGTCTATCTTACAGTAATGAATTGTTCTCTTACAGAATAAGCTTCTTACTAACAAACTGTAACACTATATTAGCATTTTCTATCCATAAGTTGTAAATCAAGAAGATAGTTATATTCACTTTAATTGCTACAATTACTAGTCGTAGGCCACCTTTTAGTCTATTTAACAAACCCACTAAGACGATCTCTCAATACTGTGTTTCAAAAAGGTTAAAGACATAATACCATGAGCATTGTTTTGGCTCAGCTAGCCAAACTTTCTGGCGTGAACTGCTTATGGACATTGTAAAAATGCCCTTTAGTAGCTTTACCTTTCGGCAGTGCTAGTCCTCCTCGAACAAATGAATAAAGGTACACACGGTTAGGACCCTGTTGTAGTGAACGGTATATAGAGCATACTCCTCGCGAATATTGGAATGCAACACAAGATGGAT